AGTCCCTAAGAGTACCCTTCTATGTGCTAGATGGGATACTGCCTGATTCATAAATCACTTAATAAAGCCAAATTTACTTGGCTGAATTTTGTTTTGCAACAACATCAAGAAATGCTATCATCAGAAGATAAACCCTCATATTAGTAAGTTCAGGAAAGAGTGTCATCTGCTTGCACGCTAATGGGTGGTTTTCCCTGTAGTTAATCCATTGTTTTTGTCCCTAATATTTTTAAAAATATTTTTTTTTTATTGATTTCAGAGAGGAAGGGAAAGGAATAAAGAGAGAGAAACACCTCTGATGACGGAGAATCATTGATCGGATGCCTCCTACTGGGGTTCGAGCCTGCAATCCCGGGCATGTGCCCTTGGCTAGAATTGAACTCGGGACCCTTCAGTCTGTAGGCTGACACTCTATCTACTGAGTGAAACCGGGTGGAGCTGTCCCTTACATTTTTATCTTACATACAGTGAAAGAGGTTGGCTATTCAGACTTAAGTCACATTTTTGTCCTATATCACTTTGTGCATACATGAAAAGGGAATCATAGTAAAAGACATTGGTTAAAGGTTTCCTAAGGAATCCTGGCTGGGTAGTTAAGTTAGTTAGAGCATTGTCCTGTCCAAGGTTGAGGGTTCGATCCCAGGACAGGGCACATACAAGAATCAACCAGCCGAAACTGGTTTGGCTCAGTGGATAGAGCGTCTGCCTGCGGACTGAAAGGTCCCAGATTTGATTCTGGTCAAGGGCATGTACCTTGGTTGCGGGCACATCCCCAGTAGGGGGTGTGCAAGAGGCAGCTGAACAATGATTCTCTCTCATTGATGTTTCTAACTCTCTGTCCCTCTCTTTTCCTCTCTGTAAGAAATCAATAAAATATATATATTTTTAAAAAGAATCAACCAATGGATGCATAAATAACTGGAATAATTTTTCTCTCTGTTAATATAAGAGACATTCAAGCCTGTAAAGAATTTTTGTGAGTTTATTTGAGCCAAAGTGTTGACAATTACCAGGAGGAAGAATCTCAACAGACTGAGATAATGTTTTGGAGAATGGCAGTTTTGTATATTATTTTATACCTTATAATCAAAAGAGGAGACCTGCCCTAGCCAGTTTGGTTCAGTGGATAGAGCATTGGCCAGAGGACTAAAGAGCCCCAAGTTGGATTCTGGTCAAGGGTCAAGGGCATGTACCTCAGTTGCAAGCTTGTCCCCCACCCTGGTTGGGGCACATGTGTGAGACAGACAACCAATCGATGTCTTTCTTACATCAATATTTCTCTGCTTCTCTCTGTCCTCCCCCCCCCTTCTCTTTCTCTCTCTCTCTCTCTCTCTCTCTCTCTCTCTCTCTCTCTCTCTCTTTCTCTCTCTCTCTTTTCCTTCTACCCTCCTCTAAAATTCAATGGAAAAATATCCTTGGGCAAATACCTTCGTGTGGCTCAATGGTTGAGCTTCTAGCTATGAACCAAGAGGTCACCATTCAATTCTCAGTCGGGGCACATGCCTGGGTTGCAGGCTCCATCCCCAGTACGGGACATGCAGAGGCAGCCAATCAATGATTTTCTCTCACCATTGATGTTTCTATCTCTTTCCTTCTCCCTCCTCTCTGAAATCAACAAAAACATAAAGAAAAAAGGAGACAAGTGGGTTACATGAAATCCATTGGTGACAGATTAGGGAGGCAGGAGAAAGCAAAGCAGGGGAAACCTTTAGGATTGGATAAAAGTAAAATGATAGACACATACTTATTTTACTTAGGTGGGTGCAGGCTAGTTAACAGTCAACAATTAACTCAATAACAATGAGGGGATTTGTGGTGTCTGCAGAGCTATATTTGTGCTTTGAGGGGTCCGAAAAAAGGGAAATTACTTTGACATTCCAACGATAAATTATTGTAGATGCAAAAAGACAATAGACTCAGTTAAGATAAATAAAGATTGACCTTTGTAAGGGAAGATACTGGGCTAGGGCAATGGTCAGCAAACTCATTAGTCAACAGAGCCAAATATCAACAATACAATTGAAATTTCTTTTAAGAGCCTAGTTTTTAAACTTAAACTTCTTATAATGCCACTTCTTCAAAAGAGACTCGCCCAGGCCGTGGTATTTTGTGGAAGAGCCACACTCAAGGGGCTGCAGAGCCGCATGTGGCTCTCGAGCTGCAGTTTGTTGACCACAGAATGTATGAATTGAACCTCATAGCATGCCAGGAACTTCTTTAATGTGGGAAGTCCCTCAGTGGTGGCCCATTTAGGTATGGATTCTTTCACAAGGGATGCATTTTCCAAGTGAGTCTCAGAGAATACCAGGACCAGCTTTTAGATGTTTTCTTAGAGTTCTCTGGGTCTATCTTGCTGAGTCACAGTGGAGATTTAGCATTAATTGGACATTTCTCATTTCTGATTCAGTAATAGGAATGTCCACTGTGCCCTCAGCTGGTGATTTCTGTAACCCTCCATTGATGGCCTCAGAAGATAAATGGGCTTCTCCAATATGTAAAGAAGTCTTCCATGTGTCTGAAAAGATACACACCTACAAATAGAAAAAATAGCCAGCAGCAAGCTTTGGGTCTTTCTGCTGTTTCCTAAACTGCAAGGAAGGCATCCAAAATAGGCCTAAAATCTTTTTATGCTTGTAACCTCTTCCTTTGATGACCTTGCTAGGCACAGCATGCATGCTCTTCACAGCCTGGAGCTGGTCAGACCAACAGCTTGACAGGCAAGTGGCAGAGAAGAGAGTTGGCAGATGTCATGTTTGTGTGTTATACATTGGACATGGTTGTGTACACCCATCATGCCTTCTCTTTTGCTGATCTGGATGGAACTGATCTCAAATATTGGTGTGTGCTTGAATATGTGGACGAAAGGGGCCACATGCTAACTTGACAAGCTCAGGTTAATCATAAACGATGGCATTAAATTAGACTTTAACTAAAAGCAGTTATGGTCTGTATCTTCTCTGACAAGGTCAACCTTTACCTTAACTGAGCTTATTGGTTTTTTGTTTTTTTTTTCTGCATCTATGATAACATATCATTGAAATGTTTAGGATAACTTGTAACTTCCCTTTTTTTTGGACCCCTCAGGGCACAAACAAATGTGCTAGGTGCCAGAACAGATTACACAAAATCCTTCATTGTTATTGTTATCATGTTAATTGTTGACTGTTAGCTATCAAGTACACATTTAAGTGAAAGAAGTATGTGTCTCTCATTTTATTCTTTATCCTGTCCCAGAGGTTCTCTCCTCCCTTTGCTTTCTTCTGCTTCTCTAATCTATCACCAATGGATTTTGTGTAACCCACCTAAGTCTCTTCCTTTGATTGCAATGTATAAAATCTCAATCCGTTGAGATTTTTGCTTCCCGGTAATTGTTGACCGTTTGGTTCTAATAAACTCAGAAAAACTCTTCACAGGTGTGAATGTTTTTACGTTAACAAATATACCATACTCTCCTTTTTTGTCTAGTGGTCATTGAAGTTTGCCTTCGAGTTATTAAACACAACTACTGTGGATTGATTAGTAGTGACATGAATTCACTACTCCTAGCTATAGTTTTAGCAAGAAAATTCTGCCTCTGGATTTTATCCCGAAAGGATTGGCAATAATTTTCTTTGCCACATACCAGAGAATCACAAGTGTAATGACTTAAAGCAACATATATTTATTATCTCACAAGTTACATGGGTAAAGAGTCTGGCTTTTGATGAGTCTTCTGCTCAGGCTCTCAAAAGGCTGCAATCAAGGCATAGGCCAGAGTTGGGGTGTTACCTAAAGCGAGGGGTTCTCTTCCAAGCTCACACAGCTTTTGGGGAAAAAAAAATTCATTTCCTTGAAGCTATGTAACACATGGTACCTCTATCACATCTCCCTGTTTCCTTCCAGCATAAATCACAATTATTTTTTACTAAAGGTCTGGTGCACAAAATTTGTGCACTCAAGGGGCATGTGTGGGCAGCCCCTCAGCCTGGCCTGCACACTCTCCCAGTCTGGGAACCCTCATGGGATGCCTGACTGCTGTGGAGGCAGGAAAGGCTTCTGCCATCACCTCTGCACTCACCAGTCATGAGCCCAGCTTCTGGCTGAGCAGCACTCCCCCTGTGAGAGCACACTGACCATCAAGAGGCAGCTCCTGCATCAAGCCTCTGCCCCTGGTGGTCAGTGCATGTCATAACTAGTGGTTGAGCAGTCTTAGCATATATTAGCACATTATGCTTTGATTGGTTGAATGGATGACTGAACACTTAACATATTAGGCTTTTGTTATATAGATTGGCAATGAATTTTTTTTACAGAACCCAGCACAGTGGTTTGGCACATAATTGTTAAACGAGTCAAGTATTATATTCGGCTATTTGTGACCCATATTATTTCTTTTATTAGCTTGTCAGCAACTTGAGGGCAGAGCACTGATTCATTCATGTTTGTCTCTGCGAAAAGGAGTGATCTAGTCCAGCACATGGCTTAGCATTGCTCAAATCTGACTTATAAATAAGCCCAAGCAAGATAGAAAAAATAAAAACAAAAACAAACAGAAAGTAAAAGTAAGTCCAATTAGAGTGAACTTGGGAAAAGTCAGGCTGGAAGGAAACTGGGAGAAGCCAACAGCCCCTCAACTCCCCAACAACCCCACGTGCCTGCAGAAGAGACAGCAAAAAGCTGAAGATAAGCATCTCGCGAGAGGAAAGACAGACCGCGAGAGAGCGCACGTTCAGCCCGCGACCCGCCTCCCCTGAACCCCGCCCACCGGCCGCCCTCACTCCCACCTTGAACCACCGCATGTGACGTCACGACGCGTGCGTGGCCCCGGCGCAGGGGGCGGGCCCGCGGCGCCGGAGGAGGAAGTGGCGCGGTGGTTGCTCCCTCTGCTCCCCTCGGCTGGCTCCCGGGGCGCGGAGAGGAGCCGCGGTCCCGCTCGCCGCCCCACGCTCCCCGGCTGCGCTCCTCCATGTGCTTCGGCGTCGTCGCTCCGCTCCCTCAGGCCGCCTCTTCCGCCGGGGTCTATGGAAGTGATGGAAGGACCCCTCAACCTGGTGAGTGGCTCTCCGGGGGTCGCGTCCGCCCTCGGCTCCTTTACCTCACGGGGCCGCTCGGGGCCGCCGCCGCCGACCCTCGGTGCACGGGGCGCGGGGGTTGGCGGGGGTGGCGCTGGGGGCTGGGGGGCGCCGGCGGGCGTGGCCCCCAGCGGCTCCGGGGCGAGCCGGCCCCCAGACGTGGACCCCCTCAGGGGTCCCCGGCAAACTCCCGCGTCCCGTCCCCGCGGCCTTCGGGCGCCCCCTGCCGCGGGGCCTGAGCCGGGGGGCGCCCGCCCGCCCGCCGGCCGGGGCTGCCCCTCCGGGAGGCCTGAGGAGACCGGTGCCTCCGAGCGCCACGTAAACACCGCCCCGCAGCCCCGAGAGGCTCCGAAGCCGGTCCGCGCGGCGGTGGGCTGTGAGCCTGGACGGGCTTCTTCGCTCGCAGAGCCTGAAGTCCGAGCCTCTCCGCTTTGGAGAGAGGGAGCAGTGCGAACCCCTCTTCTTACCCCGTCTACCCCCCTTATTCCGTTTCTCATCTGTATCCAGACGCACAGGCTGAAAGTCTCCCTTCCCGAGTAAGTTGGAGACAGCTGGAGGGGAAAGACAACAAACACACACACAGGGTCGGCCTTGGTAGCTCAGGTTCCCACTTCGGCAGTGTTTCCCAAACTTCTCTCTGATGGGAGTCACCGGTGGAGCTGTTAAACTATTCCCGAATCCCAACTAACAAGTGCTAAACTAGACTTTGGGGGAACCTAGAGGTAAAATTGTATTCTTACCTAGTGCTCTAGCATTTTTTTTTTGGGGGGGGGGGACACTAGAATTTTGGGGAACCTATAGGGAAAATTGTATAGTTGAGTATTCAATTTTACCTCTAGGTTCCCAGAAATTCTACGTTAGCACTTGTTCGTTGGGATTCAGGAATCTGTAGTTTAGCAGCTCCACCGGGTGACTCTCATCCTGAGAGAAGTTTGGGGAACACTGGCTTGAGGCATCGCGACAGTACATCCACGTTTGCCTTCCTCAGAAAAAGGACTTCGGTTTTGAGGCTTCTCAGGTGTTGAGGTTTCAGCAACCGCGGGAAACCTGTCCCTTTCTCACTGGCCACTACATGCTCTGGTTTCCCAGAGAGAGCGCGCGCTTTGGGTACTTGAAGGTTGTAGAGAGACCGAGGGGACCTGTTTTAAGAGTCGCCGGTGGGAGATTGAGCTGCAGTGGTGAGCGCAGGGAGAATTAGTTTCTCACGTTGGGACCCTGCACCCCGGAGCCGTGCGTGGAAGAGCTCTGGGCTGGATTGAAAAACCACTCCGGGGAGAAGCGGCAGGACCTGGTGGTTTTAAGAATATGGGTTCTGGCCGAAACGGGTTTGGCTCAGCGAGCGTTGATCTGCGGACTGAAGGGTCCCGGGTTCAATTCCGGTCAAGGGCATGTGCATTGGTTGCGGGCACATCCCCGGTGGGGGGTGTGCAGGAGGCAGCTGGCCGATGTTTCTCTCTCATCGACGTTTCTAGCTCTCTCTCTCTCTCCCTTCCTCTCTGTAAAAAATCAGTAAAATATATTTTAAAAAAAGAAAAGAATATGGGTTCTGGAGCTGGACTGCTTGGATTTGAATTCTGGCATTGGCACTCAAGAGGGCGGATTAGTTGACCTCACCGAGGGTTAAAGTAACTACCCTGTTTCCCCGAAAATAAGACAGTGTCTTATGTTAATTTTTGCTCCCAAAGATGCGCTAGGTCTTATTTTCAGGGGATGTCTTATTTTTCCATGAAGAAGAATACGGTACACATTTATTGTTAAGTGAAAATAAAGGAAATTTATTATCTGGATACTACGGTAGTACAGTAGTTCTCAACGCAAACCAGACAAACTGAATCCTACAGTATCAAGAATTTACTCATTTATTCAATGACAATCATGTCATCATCTTCTGGAACATCATCATAACAATCCAATTCCTGAATTTCCTGGTGAATTTCTTGTGACTCCATTTCTTTCAGAATTAGTGGACCAAATCTCTCATGTTTAGCCTAGGGGGGCCTTATTTTCAGGGGGATGCCTTATATTTCACTCAGAAGGAAACCTGTAAGTAGGTCTTATTTTCGGGGAAACACGGTAGGTGTAAAGGGCTTAGAACAGTATGTGGTGCATAGGACTGTGTAAGAGTTAGCAATTATAGTCACCAGAATGTAAACCTGTAATTTAAATCTTCCTTGTAAAATAAAAGATTTGGGCTTGTTGAACTTGAAAAGTTTAAAATTCTAGGGCTGGAGCTAAAGCGATGGTTTCCAAATGACTGGTGCCCGGTTAGCTCCTCTGAGAAGCACCTCCCAGTTTTATTAAGTCCAACCCTTCCCCCATTGGTAAGAGTTGTTTACACATAAAAACAATTTGACTAGATTTGTGAGTTGGTTTTTTTTGTTTTTTTTTTAAACGCATAACAGGAAAATGTATTGCCCTTTTCTTGTTTTTAAGGTGACTTATAGTTTGCAGTGAAATATAATGGATGGTTCAGTATTTAAACGTAACAGGAATATTATTAGAAATAACCAGCAGTTTACAAAGTGCTCCAAAGTTCATGTCCTTGCAAAATGACCATTGGCTCAGTTCCAGTTAGCTTTACTTTATTTGGCTGCAGGCTGCAGCATAACCCCTGCCAAACTCCCACTAGTCTGTGGTAGTTTACCAGAAGACTGGACTTGGGTGAGAGTTGTAGATGGAGCAGGAGAATCATCAGTTTAGGAAAGTTTAGTTCAGTGGTGCTAATAGTATTATCTTTTTATGGAGAATTAAAAAAAAATATTTAAATGTATTTTTTAAATTGATTTCAGAGAGGAAGGGAGAGGGAGAGAGAGATAGAAACATCAATGATGAGAAAGAATCTTTGATCAGCTGCTTCCTGCACACCTCCATCTGGGGATCAAGCCCACAACCCGGGCATTTGCCTCTGGCTGGTATCGAACCCAGGACCCTTCGGTCCAACAGGCCAAAGCTCTATCCACTGAGCCAAACCAGCCAGTGAGAATTTTTAAACCCAATCTTGTTAAACAGGTTAGCACAATTCAGTAACTTTGTAGTCAAGTATTAGAAATTTTGGCATCTTGAGTTAAAAAAAAAAGGGAAAAAAAAGATCTATAATGTATTTGTGTCACTAGTCTAATTACTTAATTTCTTAAAAATGTCAGATAGTTTGTAGTTCTTTGGTTTGTTTGCTGCCTATGTAGGAAGTGATGTCAGACCTTAATTTATACATGACTGTTGCTCATGCTTTGCTTACCTACTCGGCACACTCAAAAGACACAATTGTATTCCGTGCCTTTGGCCTCAAGAGTGCTGAGAATGTTGAGTAACTTAGCTTCCCTCTAGAGTGGTCAGTTTTTCTCATCTAAGAAAAGGAATCAGATAAGATCCAAAGGATGGCCTTGTACATACCTAGAATCTTTGTAATTATTCCATGTTAATTATATTGGCAATAAGTTTTTAGTTGTTAATCCTCACCTCTTCTCTCATTTTTTTTTTAGAGAGAGTGGAAGGACTTACCTTAGTTACTAAGGGCTGGGGTTGGTTGGTATCAGACACTTTATGTTATTTATTTTATTTTTTAGTACTATGTAAGATATTCCCCATTTTACTAGTATGGATGAAGACATTGAAATGCAGAGTAAGGGCCCTGGCCAAGTAGTTATGTTGGTTAAAGTATTGTCTTAATACATCAAAGATTTCAGGTTCAATTCCCAGTCAGGGCATATATGAGAAACAACCAAAAAAAAAAAAAAAAAAAAAAAAAATTAGCCCAGCCTGCATGGCTCAGTGGTTGAACATTGACCTATGAACCAGGAGGTCATGGTTCAATTCCCAATCAGGGCAAATATCCAGTTGCAGGCTTGATTCCCAGTTTGGAGTGTGTAGGAGGCAGCCAGTCAATGATTCTCATGGTTGTTTCTCTCTCATCCTATCCCCTCTGAATAAAAACATATATTTTTAATAAATCAGCTGATGAATGCATAAATAGAATAAATCAATGTTTCTCTCTGTCTGTCCCTCTCTTCTCCCTTCTTCACTTCCTCTCTCCCTCTCTCCTCACCCTCTAAAAATAAATCAAATAAAAAACTTTTTAGTCTTAAAATACACACTACTGTTTATTTTTAATTAAGTCTTTATTCTTAAAAGTATTATATAGCTCATTCTCTCTCCCCCCTCCCTCCCATTGACCCTTTCTGGCCCAACCCCAACCCACACTACTGTTTAAAAATAAGTGCAGAGTAAGGGATAACAATGGGATTTGAAAGCAAGTTTCTAAGTAAAATACTGATCTTTCTCTTAGATCAGTGCTTGCCCATTTTTTTTTCCATTTGTTTTGACTGATTCACAGAAAGAAAATTTTCATAATTACTAGTACACACATATGTGCATGTTACTTCAGAGTTGCTACCTTATGAATGTATCTCCCAGAATTGTGTAAAACACAGGGACCCTCATAAATGTCACCCAAAACAAAAAAATTGAAACTATATGATGCCATGTATGTGCATATACATATACACGTGTATGCATGGTGCTATATTTGATATACTCTAATATTTACTATTGGAGTTAAGAAAATGCTATTGTGACCCACTAAATTGATTTCACAACTCACTAGCGGGTTGTATCCTGTAATTTGTCTTCATAGCAGATGGTGATGGTTATGAAAAAAAGCTAGGCTCAGTGGATAGAACGTCGGCCTGGGAACTGAAGGGTCCCGGTTTGATTCTGGTCAAGGGCATGTACCTTAGTTGCGGGCACATCCCCAAGGTGGGTGTGATTGATGCTTCTAATTCTCTCTCCCTCTCCCTTCCTCTTTGTTAAAAATAAATAAATAAAAAATAAAAAAATTATTAAATAAATAAATTAACTGGAAATTTAAGAAAAAAAGATGCAGCAGAGCTGTGTTTGGGAAAAATTAATCTTTAGACTTAAAATAAAAAACAGGTGTTCCTGGACTTATTCTAACACTTGAGCAGTTATCTTAAGTATTAATTATATTATTTTACTTTGGCATCCAACTCAATACTTGACTTTTAGGAGCTATTGCTTGCCAGTGGGAGACTCAGTGAATTGGTTGAGAAATGGGGAGTAAATGAAATTTCTCTTTCTCTGAAGACCCTACCTACTAAAAGGTTCAGGAGTACATTAGATTTTCCTCTGTTACCTTTTTTGGTGTTCTTTCTCTTTTCAATTTTACATACAGCTTTCCCCTAGGGACACAGAAATATATGAAAAATAAAGTAAGGTAAATACTGTTTTCTTTGGGAAAGAAGATAATATAGAACCTGTATTTTTAAAGCAGGTAGCATATAGAAGTAGAATGTACTTTTTGGTGAGGGTAGGATTTTTGTCAGTTGGAGGTGATAGCAACCCACTTCACATTTGCTTAAATTGGGATATTTCCTAGGTCTAGCCTGCATTTGAGGAAGGGTAATGACAAAGGGTGTGAATACCAGGAGGGCAGGGGCTTTGGGAGCCATATCAGAAGCTGTTTATCACAACTGTTGATAGAGAAGCAGAGAAAATAAGTACATGCCTTAGCTGGTTTGGTTGTTGGTTGACCTGAGGACTGAAGGATCTCAGGTTCATTTCCAGTCAAGGGCACATATCGTGGATGCAGGCTAGATCCCAGGCCCTGGTCAGCATGTGTGGGGAGGCAACCAATCAATCTGTCTCAGCAAAACCATTATTGTTTCATTTTTGATTCTTATATTTCCAGTAGGACATAATCTCACTCATTTAGGGGAAATGGTGAACAACCTAGACTGGTGAACAAGAACCGATCCAGAGATAAGGAGCCATGGGTCAAATTGGACCTCAAAGGGAGGGTGGGATAAAAGGGAGAGATCAACCAAAGGACTTGTATGCATACATGTGAGCCTAACCAGTGGTCAAGGACAATATGGGGGTAGGGCCATGAGTGGGGAGGGAGGAGATTGGAACCCGGGGTTGAGGACAAATATGTGATACCTTAATCAAGAAATTAAAAAAAAAAAAAAAAAAAAAATCGATGTGTGTCTCTCACATTGATGTTTCTCCTTCCCCTCCTCTTTCTCCCTTTCCCTTCTTTCTAAAAATCATTGGAGCCTTGCTAGGGTGACTCAGTGGTTGTGTCAACCTCAACCCAGGCAGTCATGGATTTGATTTCCAGTCAGGGCACATACCTGGGTTGTGGGCTCGATCCCCAGGGTAGGGTGTGCAGTAGACAGCCGATCAATGATCCTCTCATCATTGTTGTCTTTATTTCTATGAAATCAATAAAAATATTTTTTTTTCAAAAGAATCAGTGGAGAAAAATACCCTCAAATGAGGATTAACCAAAAAGAAAGAAGAAAGTACAAAAAAATCCTCACAAAGATATTAAGAAAATATCCTGTGGGATTGCATCAAACTAAAAAGCTTCTGCACAGCAAAGGAAATTATCAAATGAAAAGAAAACCTACCGAATTGGGAGAAAATATTTGCAAATCATGGATCTGATAAAAGGTTAATACCCAAAATACTCATATAGCTCAATAGCAGAAATACACACAGCAAACAATCTAAAGAAAAAAATGGGTAGCCATAAGAGAAAAATCTTGCCATTTGCAACACGAGGGCATTATTCCGTGAAATCAGTCAGAGAAATCATGTGCTCAAACACCGAATCATGCCAGTCGGGCCAGATTTTACTATCTTAAAAAGTAAATTGAGGCCAAGTACCCATAACATAAAATTTACCATCTTTTTTAAGTGTCCAGTCTAGTAGCATTAAGTATATTTAAACTGTTGTGAAACATCTTCAAAACTTTTCATCTTGCAAAGTTAAATCCTATTAAACAACTCCTCACTTTCCTCTTCTCAGCCCTTGGCAGCCACCATTCTACTTTCTATTTCTATGAGTTTGAATCCTTTAGATATTTCATATAAATGGGATCATACGGTTTTTTTTTTTGTAACTTTATATTTTATTAACTTAATATCTTCAGAGCTTATTCTTGCTACAGCATGTGTCAGTTTCCTTGAAAACAAAAAATAAACATAAAGAGAAGGAAACACATTTACGAAGTTGTGGTAAATTTTAAAATGTAACAGAGAGGTAAAGAGCCCAGTGACTACTCACTTAATGCATTTATCTTTACATTTGGGGGCACTTTAGTCACTTGCTTTCAGAACTGTTGCATTTGTCTTTGTTGCTTTGGTGACTTGTATCTAGAAAAATTTCCACCATAATGTTAAATTTAGGTATTGTAATTACTCAACTGTCCGATATACACATTTTATATTTTAAAAATATAAATAGTAACTTTAAGGTTGAAAGGGGAAAATGAGTTATAGAAGAGAAGCAATTAGAAATGTTTGTCTTCTAGGCTCATCAACAGAGCAGACGAGCAGATCGTTTATTAGCTGCGGGGAAATACGAGGAGGCTATTTCTTGTCACAAAAAGGCTACAGGTGAGTATCCTCTTTAAGAAGTACTGAGTCTAAAACTGTAGGGCAGTTATTTCCTCCAGTATTTTTCAACACTTTATTTGGAATGAAAGTAATAATGATGTGCTGTGACCCCACAGACCCCCTGAACATCAGCTTGCATTTTTTAAAATATATTTTTATTATTTAGAGAGGAAGGGAGAGGGAGAGAGAGATTGAAACATCAGTAATGAGAGAGAATCATTGATCGGCTGCTTGCAAGCCCACTACAGGGGATCAAGCCCACAACACAGGTATGTGCCCTTGACTGGAATTAAACCTGGGAACTTTTGGTCCACAGGCCAATGCTTTATCCATTGAGCCAAACCAGCTAAGGCAGCTTGCATTAATTTTTAGTGTGTTGGATTTCCAAGTTCCTTCCAACCCAGACTTTTCTTTCTTTTTAAAAAATATATCTTTATTGATTTCAGAGAGAAACATCAATGATGAGAGGGAATCATTGATCGGTTGCCTCCTACACACCCCCTGCTGGGGATCAAGCCCGCAACCCAGGCATGTGTCTGATTGGGAATCAAACCCTGACCTCCCAGTTCTTAGGTTGACTGAGCCATGCCAGTCAGGCCAGACTTCTTTTCTAAGCCAGGAAAGTTATACGTTCCATGTTGGTAAATGACTTTAGGACATGGCTTTCTGAGCCCAAAGATCCCTAAAGTCAGAAGTGATTGTCAGATGTCTGCCAGTATATCTTGGTTATATTATAGAAAAGGAGTCTGGGTTTTAAAGCTAGCCAATTGGGTTCTAAAAGTAATAATTAGTGTGACTCCAACCAATTTATTTGCACTGAGTTTCTGTTTCTAAGATCTTGATAATGCAAGATGCATCAAACTCTTTCCTGATTTTTCTTTAGCTTCTCTTCTGAATATTTCATCCATATACTCATGTATATTCATGCTTGTAACATTGTGCTGGTGATTTAGGTAAAAAATTTATAGAGTAACTGGCTTCTTATTCAAACGCTTAATTTTATCCTAGTCAGGCATACAACCTAGCATATGTTGAACTCAGAAATAGATCTTTGGGGTGTGTTTTGTACAGGTTTTGTTGGCTGAAGAGCATACATAAAAGCTTTGGGGAAAGGACTGTTTTATTCATGTTTCATTCAAAATAGTATAGCTACCTTTCTTAGAGCAAACTCTTATCACCTCACCTGTCTCTAGAGGAAGTTACTCTCCTTTCCCTTTAGGCCAGGATGATAATCAGAGCAGTGTTATTTTCTGGTAAAGTCTGCCTTTCCTGTATTACCTTACTGCTGAAAAACAGACCACATTATGGACACTGGTTTGGATAAGTCTTATATCAGTAATTTTTGCCTATAAATCAGTGATTTTCAAGAGAAAATTTCAAGTAATTTTTTTTTTAAAGAATTAGTTTTGCTACTAAAGTTACCACTTCAGCTATTTAGCTAAGCACATAGTATGTACCCCATAAATCTTTTGTGACTTTTTATGGTGAGTTTTATGGGGGCTTTATATAACATTTAAACTTGATAGCTAGCTCTCTTTAAGTCTTTCATAAACCCTACTAGAGGCCCAGTGCATGAAATTCATGCATGGGTAGGGTCCATAGCGGCTTCCTGCCACTGATTGGGGCCTCCCACGGTTTGCCAGCTGGCCCTACCCCCTGGCCAAAGTCCTGGTCTAATTCCCGGTCAAGGGGACAATTTGCATATTAGGCTTTTATTACATAGGATTTTGTTTTGAATAGATTGTTAAATTTGTAGTCACTATAAAGAAAAGATAATGTATTATACTACCCTGTTTCCCCCAAAATAAGACAGTGTCTTATATTAATTTTTGCTCCCAAAGTTGCGCTAGGTCTTATTTTCAGGGGATGTCTTATCTTTCCATGTGCTAGGTCTTATTTTCGGGGAAACACGGTAGTAGCCCTGCGCACGAATCTGTGCATCAGTAGCTCGCTGTCACCCTCTGATAGCTCTCCGCCTGCTGCCCTGCCCTCCTGTAGCTCCCTCTGTATCCGTGTGTGTGTGTGTGTGTGTGTGTGTGTGTGTGTGTGTGTGTGTGTGTCTCGCTTTCCCCTCAGTTTGCTGCCCTGCCCTCTCCTGCAGCTCTCTGCTGCCCAATTGTAGCTTGCTGCCCCACCCTTCTGCAGTCGTTATGCAGTTGTCGTTATGCTTCATGGCGTAATGACCATTTGCATATTACATCTTTATTATATAGAATTTAAGAAAACCGCTGAAACCCGTTTGGCTTAGTGGATAGAGCCTCAGCCTGTGGACCGAAAGATCCCAGGTTCGATTCCAGTCAAGGGCATATACCTTGGTTGCGGGCATATCCCCAGTGGGGGGGTATGCAGGAGGTAGCTGATGGATGCTTCTCTCTCATCGATGTTTCTAACTCTCTATCCCTCTTTCTTCTTCTCTGTGAAAAATCAATAAAATATATTTTAAAAAAGGAAAAAAAGGAAAAGAAAACCATGTTGTAGATGAATGCCACAGTGAAATGACAATTTTAGTAAAATAACCCAGAGTGGTCATGGTTACACATCTGTAACATATTAATATGGAGTGACTAGTACATGTTAGGTGTTGAACAGTAGGATGTTCTGAATATATAAAAGGGAGAAAAGTATTTTTTATCCCTAACCTATATCCATGTCTTTATTAGAAGACTTAAAACTAATGGTGGGCTTTAAACACCTCTTCCCACTTTGTCTATATCTAAATTCTGTGACATTCTCAGGAGTAGAAAGATAAAGGTAGCCTATTGGATCCCATTAACTTTAATTATGGAGATAGAACTTATGAGCCAGTTTGATTAGGAGTTTAAACTTGGTAACTTACATACTTACATGCATAGCCCATGGACACAGGCACAGGATGGTGAAGATGTGGGCAAGGTGGGTTGATAGGGTCTGGGAGGAGGAAGGTCAAGGAGGGTAAACAAGAGACATCTGTAATACTATCAACAATAAAAATATATATTAAAAAATAGCCTTGTGTTGCATTTCTGAGTGGAGTTGTCAATGTACTAACTAATAACACTAGTTTAAAACTGACATGGTTGGAATGAGCTCAATTCAATGTTTTGTAAGTTGACATCTAGGGGTTATAATAGCAGTGTTTTGGGAGGTGTGGATGTAGATGTATTTTGAGAGGAGGGAATATAATATTTGGAAATCATTTTAAAGATATGATAGGGAAAGGTTCACCAGAGAAAGACTCAGAGGAAGGGAAGCCAGAACGGAGAGAACTTAGGGTAAAAGAAGGGGACTCTGTTCAGCTGTCAAAGATCGGAGGAGATTCTGAGACTAAAAATTTACCTTGAGGTTGCATAGCTATGGACTCAGAGCCTGTATACTATGATGTAGAGTTTTGATAGTGTTTGTTTTGTAAATGTGTTGAAATAAAGTGGTAACTTGATTCACTTTCCTTTTTGGAAAAGGTAGGATCTACTCTTGAGATGGACAGTAACTAAATTAGATGAAATGAGCATTCATCCGACAGATAAACTGAGATACCAAATCTCAGAAAGAAACAAAGCTGTCTAAATGTGGCAGGAGGTCGAGAGAAGTTGTTCACTTTTTACCATGTAATATGAAAAAAGGAAAGGTTAATTGGCTACAAACTCCCAAGGATTTGGTCTTGTTAGAAAAATTGTTGCTTTAAACCCTTGATTAACAGCTGTAACTGGATTGGTGAATTCTTCTTTATTAGCTTTCTGCAATCCAGTTCCATAAGTGAATTTCATTTCTTTCACAGATAGCAAAAAGAGCAAAAGCTTAAGTGGGAAGTTGATAATATCCATTGACAATGCTTAGAACTTAGAATGTACATTTGAGATGAGCAGACCTCAGAGTGCAGTATTTCTGTGTATTTGGTTGAAAACAAGTCTTTTTTTTTTTTTTTTGGCAAGGTACATGTCTTTACTCCTACAAGAGGGTGCACACACATGGTCTGGGAGCACAGGCACACTGAGCAGACAGTCCGCCCGGCTTTTTATTCCGGATGCAGCTGACCTGTCCCTTACTCTTGATTGGAGCTTATGCTCAGTCTTTCGTGATTGGCTAATTTAAAGGAAAGGGTTCACTTTTGCCAGAAAACAAGTCTTGACCTACCTTCCTATTAGACTGTGGTGACTCAGAGTAGATTAGTCTTTGTCATTAAGAGGCAATATTTTGCTCTGTGTGCCCCAGAAAAGTTGTACAATTTGTACTTTGGTACTGAATTCATGATAGAATAGTAAAATATGTTATTTTAAGAAGCAATATATTCTTCAGATTTTCTTAGTTTTTCCCCCCCATCATTTGTTTAATATTTACTTTAAATATTAGCCTAGTGTTGTAATTGAAGGAAGCATTTTAACCAGATTTGTTAGGTTTTTGTAAGATAAATGTTTCTTAAGTTTCTGCCTTGGTGGAGCCAGAGCATTTGTTCCGTTTGTGACTCTGGAGCAAATCCATGACCATGCAATCAGATTAAAATGTTTTCCTTTTAAAAATAAAATATTTTAATTGATTTCAGAGATGGAGAGAAAGTTAGAAACATCAGTGATGAGAGAATCATTGATCAGCTGCTTCCTACACCTCCCCTACTGGGGATCAGGTTCAAAACCCGGGCATGTGCCCTTGACTGGAATTGAACTTAGGACTCTTCAGTCCGCAGGCTGATATTCTATCCACTGAGCCAAACCAGCTAGTGCTAAAATAACCTTTTTAAAGGCCCATATTTAAAATCTGGGAAATACTTTAAATCAGCGGTCACCGACCTTTCGGACCTCATGGACCACCCGTTGGCGACCACTGCTTTAAATGACACTGTGGCTGCTGTTGAATTCTTTGTGCTTTGGCAGCTCAGTGTCCTTGGGTTTCCTTTTCTCTCATGTTACAGTTTTAATGTTCTACAAAGGGAGGCATTCCAGTTGTTAAGTTTGGTTTTGCCAAATTGTTTGACATCTTTTTAAATCCTCATCTTGTTTCTTTTCAGGAACAGGGTAACTATATAATAAATAGCAGAGTTGCCTCTTTGATCATTTCTCTTTGTCGCATGAGGAGTATTAAAACTCTTTTTTGCCCTGTTAATTACAAAATGACAATACTCATTAATGTGCCTTTTTTTTTTTTTTTTTTTTTTTTAAACCAGCATATCTTTCTGAAGCCATGAAGCTAACACAATCTGAACAGGTGAGACATTTTCTTAATATTTACAAGGGTAAGAAGGATTTCTTGTGAAGAGTTGACTTGTGTATAAAACCAAGCATTGGGCCCCTCTCAAAACACTAATCAAAATACATTGTGGGGCAAAAGTAGGTTTGAAAAATAATATAATCATTAATAAAAATGCAAGAATAAATTTGTGTACTCTCAACTGTAAACCTACTTTTGCCACACCCTGTATATAAAACAGGCAAAAGAAAAGTATTTTAGGAAATTAAAAGTAAATGAACTGTGTTGATGTACCAGACATATCAGACATGGTATTCAGAAACTTCTGTCCTTTTTGTGGTTACTTATGGATCTCGGATTGCCACATGTGTCCTAGAGATGCCTCGTAGGGCTTTTCCTGATCATTAGCTCATTTGACCAGGAGCTCACAGTAAGTTAGCTGGCCTGGGCAATGGGACCGGTTGGCCTTCCCCTTGCTTCTCAAAGATAATTTAAATCTGAACTTACCTTTTCCCGAGTTCCTAAGCAATTCTGGTAAATTTTTTTTTTAATCCTTATTTAAGGATATTTTTCCCATTGAGTTTTTTAAAAAGAGTGAAAGGGAGAGAGGGGACAGGAAGAGAAACATTGACTTGAAAGAGATACATAGATTGGCTGCCTCCTCCTTGCGTCCTGAATGAAGCCAGGGATCACACCTGTAATCAAACTCATGACCCTTTGGTCTGCAGGGTGATGCTCTAACCACGGAGCAACCAGCCGGGTTTTGTTTTGTGGTTGTTCCCCTGGCCCCACCCTGCCCTGCCCAGGTTTTTTTTTTGTTTTGTTTTTTTTAGTTTTTCAGGTAGAAACCTAGAAGAGGGATTGCTGGGTCATGTGGTCTATTTTTAATGTTTTGAGGACCCAACATACAGTTTTCCATAGTGGTTGTGCCAGTTTACATTCCCACCAGCTGTGAAAGAGGATTTCTTTTTCTCCACAACCTCTCCAACACTTGTTACAGGTGTGAGGTGGTATCTCGTAGTTTTTTTTTTTCTCACCGGAAGATATTTTCCCATTGATTTTTAGGGAGAGTTGAAAAGGGAGGGAAAGACAGAAACATCAATAATGTGAGAGAAGCACATTGATTGATTGCCTCCTGCATGAGCCCTAATGAGGGCCCATGCTGGGCGGATCCTGAAACCAAGGTACGTGCCCTTGACCGGAATTGAACCTGGGACCCTTTGGTCCACTGGACGATGCTCTACTCAGGGAGCCACATCTGCTTGAGTTGGTTCTGGTACTTTTTAACTTTGTTTCACCATTGGCTTTAAATTGTTTTCTGTGTTTGGGGAGGGCTTCCCTAGGTTTTTAAATTACTGTTACCTTTATACAAAGATGATTTCCTGATTTTATAAGTAGTAGGTACATAGGAGGTGTTTGGTAAATGTTTGTTTAATTGAATTAAGGAGATCCTTTCTGAAAGAGATATCAGTGGCAAAGAAAAAACACAGAGCTCCTCAAACAACCAAGAGAACTGGAAGTTGTGTCCTATCACACACACTTCCCTTTGATTATAGAACTGCTCATGTTAGCCATGTAGTATAGATGTGCACTGAACGTTCTGAGCACCCTGTCAGTGAAAGACTTTAGCTAGTTATGGAATTGATGTCTACAGAGGAAAGTTTTCTGTTTTTAAGCTGAGTATCAATGGGATTGCAGAGAGTTAAGGCACCATTAAAAAAAAAAAGTCTGATTCAGTATGTTGACTAGGAATAGTACTTCCGACTTGCTGAGTGAATGGGTGTTCTGCTTATATTCATAAGCTAACATAAGTGTTAACTTACCTAGAAAGAACTAGCTATTTTGAAAAACTTTTGAGGTTTAATTGAAACGCAAACGTAGTATATAGATTTTAAGTGTTATCACTTCAGAAAGGTGGGTCTTGGAATAATATTTGCTGGACATTACTAAAGAGACTCAGAATGTTAAATTGTGCCTTTCTTTCTGTGTAACAGGCTCATTTATCACTGGAACTGCAAAGGGATAGCCACATGAAACAGCTCCTCCTCATTCAGGAGAGGTGGAAGCGGGCGAAGCGGGAGGAGAGGTTGAAAGCACAGCAGAGCACAGACAAGGATGCCGCTGCCCATCTTCAGGCATCGCACAAGCCCTCTGCTGAGGAGGCAGAAGGCCACAGCCTCCTCTTCTCTCAGAACTACAGCCCTTCCACGGAGAAACACCTGCCTGAAATTCAGAGGGTCTTTGACAGGGATCCAGACACACTGCTATTTTTACTTCAGCAAAAGAGTGAGCCAACAGAACCATGCATTGGAAGCAAAGCCCCGAAAGATGATAAAACCATTATAGAAGAGCAGGCAACCAAAATTGCAGATTTGAAGAGGCATGTGGAATTCCTTATGGCTGAGAATGAGAAATTAAGGAAAGAAAACAAACAACTCAAGGCTGAAAAGGCCAGACTTCTAAAAGGCCCAGTAGAAAAGGAGCTGGATGTAGATGCTGATTTTGTAGAAAAGTCAGAGTTATGGAGCTTGCCGCCACAGTCAGAAACTGCTACAGCCTCTTCAACCTGGCAGAAATTTTCAGCAAGTACTGGGAAAGCCAAGGATATTCCAATACCCAATCTTCCTCCCTTGGATTTTCCTTCTCCAGAACTGCCCCTTATGGAACTCTCTGAGGATATTCTGAAAGGACTTATGAATAATTAAAACGGAAGGCCATAGAAGAGGTGAGAAGAGGAAATAATACAGTTAATGCAGAAGAAACAAAAAAGGGAAAAGGCACATACAAGGATAATCCTGGAAATGCTTCGTTACCCGGCGCCCGCGGAGAGGAGGCAGTGCAGGGCTCCGGAAGTGGTCACTGTGAAATACGCCGCGTGTCTGACTTACTGACTCAAGCTAATGATTCCAGACTTGGCAGACACTTTCTCCTAACACAAACCAAATGGCTACCTGGAATAATTTTTTCAAGCAACAATTGTTTTTCTTATCTTCAGGGTTAAAAATGTATAAAAATATGTTACGTGTAATTAATCTGTAATGCCATAAATGATAATGCAAAACAAATAATTTGGTGGCCTGGGAAGCTGCCTTGTATTTGAAACATGCTTTCTATCATGCATTGACTGTATGCATTTTGTTATGCACATTTCATTTGTTCAATAAGGTGTGTAAGACACCTTTCTAGATGAAACTCTGTGTGCCACACTTTGCACTACTCATAACATAATGATAACCTCAAGACTATCAGGAAACATATTTAAATTTCCATTTTATGAAGAACCAAATTATTAGTTATGCTTTTTTTTTTTTTTTTTTAAATTACCAGTTTACATAATTAATCAGGGTGCATTTTAAGTTCTAACTTTTTTTGTTTATTGTATAATGCATCATTTGAAAATACCAAGGAAATAATCCTTTGTTTTTAATGATGCATGAGTGGAAGTAATGCTAGTTGGCAGTATTTGATTGTAAGAAATCAATAAAGTAATTGTATTTTATACCTTTGGTGAATGTGGTTGGTACTTGAAAAGCAAGTTTTATATGGTTTCTATGTTGTAAATTTTGAATATGAATTTGAAGAGATTCTGTCAAAGGATTACTTTGGTATGTTACAGATGTCCTTCAGTGTCTTGTAGTGCAGTTCCTCTCCAGGGAGGAAGAACAAGGAAGTTCCTGAGTTCTAAATGTGTTGCCAGCCTTTTCTTGTCCTAGCACACATGAAAAATGCTCAGATGGGAGCCGCCATTCCCGGGCCCCCGGCCCCCGGCCGGAGGGAGCGTGGAGGTGGTGAAGCGCTTGCATGGGCATTCTTTCCTGCAGAGTCCAGGGCTCCAGGGTGAGAAGGCCGAGAGGAGCATAGAAGGGAAACACATTTGAGTGTAAGCATAGTCGTGGCTTATTGTGTGGAATTGTGGGCATGACAGACATAAGGAGGAATAGCAAACTGCCTCCCCTGAGGAAACCAGGGGCAGTGGGGCTGAGAGGTAGGGTTGGCTTATATGTTTAGTGATGAAGCTAGCAGAAGCAGGATGACATGAAGTGACCATGCAAAGGTCATTTTTTTTTCCCTTGCTACAGATGAAACCAAAAGTAAACTGACTTCTTAAAATATCTTAAAATGAGTTCCACTCTCTGTTAAAAGTTATATTAATTGGTTCTTCTGAGTGTTGTTGCCTATTTTGCTTGCCTAGCCTTATAAAACTTCAAATTTAACAAGTTTGTGCCAAAAATAAACTATTAGCCTAGTCACTTCTCGTTAAAAAAATATTAGGGCTGACATGAATACTTTGACATCACATTCCTTTTCTGCCACTGCCTTCTTCCTCTCCTATCCTGGCTTCCCATGACTGTTAGCATGATGTGCATTTTGCAGGACCTTGCTCTCTGCATTTCCACTAACAACTGCACATTAGGTGAACTAATCTTTTTCTTTTAAGTTCTTTTTCACACTATTTAGTATTCTTGTTATATCTGGTTTTTAAGTTTCGTGTTTGCCTCTTAATAGAATGTATGTGCCTTTTGACCAAGGTGACATGGTATCTTTTGCAGCATCCTAACGCAGGGTCTTCTGTAAAGTAGATTCTTAAACAAAAAAAACACACCTGTTTTCCTCAATTATAGGACCTAGCCTCTGAGTTTGTGGCCCATCTCTGATTTGTGGTTTTTGGGTGTTCTTGTGTCTTTTCTGTCTAGTTTAAGGCACTGAAAGAGACTTCAGAACAGCTTGCTTCCCAGTAAGGAATGCATTATTCATACATAGCAAGTTTAGCAAGTCTTGTCTTCCCTCACCAAGTGATGGCCTCTGCCACTGGACCCAGATAACTGGGCATTAAAAAAGTCCAGGAAGCCTAGCCCCGAGTTCTTATCTTCAGCTTTTCACAGAGTGACACTAAAACACTGCTTTCAGAAAGTAAGTGGAATGTAGTAAGCATCCGAGCTGTGCTGCTGTGGTGACATGGTGATCCATATTTCCTTGACACCATGCTTAAGAGAAAAGGGAATCATAAGAAGGTATTTTCAAAATAGTCCCTTCAAAGCCGTTGTTCACGTTTTATCAAGGTTATTGAAATAATGAAAATATTTTGTCTCTAGGTGAGTCAGTCAAAAAATGTTAAATACATTATCTTTCTGTTTAGTACTTTTTTTGTTTTAATGTATTTTGGATGTCATAATTTTTAGGGCCTTTAAGATCTATTATTCTACAAAGAAAACAAATTGAGTCCCAGAGAGTTATGTGAAGTTTTATACCAGACGGAGCAGAGCCAAGAGGAAGGTGGTCTTACTAGCAGTCCCGAGCTGTTTTTACTGGGCTACACTGGAGCTGAATTGTCTAGTTTTCCTACTGTGGCCAAGGGAACTGGTCATTCCAGTTTCTCCTCAGCTACTGATCATTTGGAAAAGTTGAGTTCATCCTTACACTCAACTGTAAGAAACCTAATGTGCATTTTCTGTTGTATCCCTTTTCTTTTTGTTAATTCTCACCCCAGGATATTTTTCCATTGACATTCTTCCATATATATATATATATATATATATATATATATATGTATGTATTGATTTCAGAGAGGAAGGGAGAGGGAGAGATAGAAACATCGGAATGAGAGAGAATCATTGATTGCCTCCTGTATGCCCCCTACTGGAGGTTGAGCCCACAACCCAGGCATGTGCCCTTAGCCGAAATCAAACCTGGGACCCCTCAAGTCCACAGGCTAGGGCCAAATCAGCAAGGGCTGATTTTTCTTTTTTATAGAGAATGGAAAGAAGAGGAGGAGAGAGAGAAACTTTTGTTGATGTGACGAATCAATTAGTGGGGAATCAACCAATTGATCAGGTATGTGCCCTGGACCAGAATGAACCCGGGGCCCTTCAACACTACCCACTGAGACAAATAAGCTAAGACGATATCCCTTTTCATTTGTGGGGAGTTGAGATTCAAGTTTTGTTTTAAAAGATGAATACTAGTGTGAGGCAGTCTGCCATATATTATAACTTATTTGCAGGGTCAAGACATGAATTGTAATAATAGCTAGTTATTGAATCATTCTAGACCGGTAGGCTTTATATATGTAAAGATCAAAGTGACCTTTATTATATTTTTGTCATAATCTTAGTGTTTTGGAGACCTCTGTGGGAGCAACGTGGCGTGGCTGTTTAAAAAAGGTTTCTTCAGATTTGTCTCATCTCAGATGGACTCATGTGCTTTTAATAAGCACGAATGATGAACAGTGCCATCTGGTGGGCAGTGAGGAATTTTTCTTGGGTCAAGGAGGATTTGGTGGGCTACAGTTTAAAAGTCCCTAGTCACTAATATTTAAATAGTAAATATTCTAATATTCAAGAGTGGTTTATAGACATGTATAGACAAAAAAAAGTAAATAAAAAATATCTCAAATCAGTGTAATCTGGCTAATGAACCATCATCTTCTGCCTCTAAAACTTAAAGCATTGCCCTAGCTGGTTGGCTCCTGGATAGAACTTTGGCCTGCAGACTAAAGGGTCCCACGTTTGATTCCAATCAGTGGCACATGCCTGGGTTGCAGGTTCGATCCCCAATGTGGGATATGCAGGAGGCAGCCAGTCAATGATGGTCACTTACTGATGTTTCTATCTATCCCTCTCTAAAATCAATAAAAAATATATTTAAGAAATGATGAATCATTGATAGGCCACCTCTTGGATACCATACCCCTCCTGGGAATCAAGCCCGAAACCAGGCATTTGCCCTGACCTGGAATCGAACTGTGACCTAGTTCACAGGTCAATGATCAATCACTTGAGCCACACAGGTCAGGCAATACTCAGATAATAAGAACTGAGATTTTTTTAAGAGGCAAACAGTTTGAGGTCGATTCAGTGGTCATCCCTGTTTACCTTTTAAATAAAAAAAAAATAAGCTTAATTAAAAAAAGTTTGCTAACACACTATTAAGTTTTTGTTCAACATAATTTATGCAGAAAATAACTTTCTCCCCAAAGTTCAGTTGCCAGTAGTGGCTCCTATCTTACTGAGCCCACAGAAAACACCAGAACACTAGTCATGAGGAGGAGTAAATATCTCACTTTAAAATCTCGATAAACTGCTGCTGGTTGGGAAGATGTGAATGGAATACTTAGAAGCAAGTGTGGGCTCCCAGCTCAGAAAGCACTGCGGTGCACCAGTATGTCCTGTGCAGTTCCCCAGAAAACAGCAATTTCCCATGACTATACAATTTCTAGAGTTGGTACGCTTTAGAATACATAACCATTTGCCATGGAGCTCAATGTAAATGAACTAAATTGCTTTCATTTCCCCTCTGGGAGGATGAGGTGATGGATCAAGTCATATGATAACCAACAGATGTGCCAAATTTTTAACACCTTAGAATTTGTTTCTGAAACCCTATGCTCCACTGGTTTTAGAAAGCTTTAATTTGAAGACTATCGGGTATAGTTCAACTGTAACAGTTGCTTTGAAAATGCAAATTTGTTCCAACATGATTAATATGTAGAGAACCATTTGAACATAAGAATTTTGTGTTTGCTTAAGGGGTGATTTTGTCTGCAAGAAAAACCATGCGGAAAACTGCACCTCCTTAATCCTCCTCATGATGGTACTGAGACAAGCCCATCTACATCTGGTGTTAAACTTTCTAATTTCAGACAGCCCTCCTCCCACCACTTCTCAGTCTTCCGATGCCCACTTCCAGAGCAGACGTCAAGGTAAAA